TTTAACACATACCATTGCATGCCGAGGTTTTGTCAACTGAGGTGCGAGCAAGCGAAATTTGAGCTTTTTGAGTGATTCTGTATCGCCTTTTGCCAGTTTGCCGAAATCCCCCTTGCTGGTGTTGCAATCATCGGGAGAGGGGCTGCGTTCTTGCAGTGGGCACAAAATCCATCAATCCCTGCTGTGACACTTGTATTTGCACTTGACGCTGACCCCCAGTGACCGCTGACTCTGAGTGAGGTGCAGATTCCAAAGCAGCATTGATGTCGTTGGGATCGGGCTTGGGGCAATCTTCATCCTTCGGGTACTTGAACTTATCTAGCCTCTCGATGTGATGAAGCTCCATCCCTCGCCCTGAAAGTGGTACGTCAATAACTTCAGGCCTGCTTGAGAACTTGGCCTTCATGCACTTGGCTTCAATTGAAGCGCGGTGGTACCAATCCAACGTTCAACCGGCTCTTCGAGATCCCCAGACTTGAAGCAGTATGCTTATCGCGAAGAACTTGGAATCGTCCGAAGAATGCATGCGAGCTTCGGCATTGCCCTGGATTCTCCAAAATGGAGCGGGGCAATGCTGCTTGTGGGACATAGAGATTGGGCCTGGACTTCTAGTGGATCCGAACACAAATGCCATTGTCCTCGTCAACAACCCAATGATCCTCGGGACCGACTTCACCCTTGCGGGCGGCCAGTGCATACCTTGCACACCCGTGAGGGTGGCATTTGATGAAAGGCAACACGCCGCCTTCTTGTCGGCGCTCTTACCTCTCTTCTTGCTGGGGCGCCTGCGCTTAGCCGGAGACGGTGCTCGTTGCTTTCCGTCCTTATCGCCTGGACTGCGGTGATGGCATCCTTGTGAAGGAAAGGGCAATTCTTTCCGTTTTTACAGGTGCCCTTGAGTCAAGGAGGCATGTCATCTTGGATGTATCCTTTACTTGCTTCCCCCCTTTCCACTGCCAGCACTACCGCCGCGTCCCCCGGGCCTAGCACTCGCGTTGGGGCGGGGGTTTCTTGTGGAAAGGTGCGGACCCCGGGCGGCGGCACTAAGGGCTCCCTGCCCGATGAGCACCCCCTTTCCCCCCCTCCCTTGTGCTAGGGCGACAGTGCCCTCTTGTAGTCTAGTTCAGCTGTTGTTGACCAGTACCGACGGTCTCAATGTCTCCAGAGTCATTTTACTGAGCTGCAGGGTACATGATGCTGGTTGCAGCCTTGCAGTTGAGCCGCGATTGACAGCAACTACCCCAACATCATACTAAAGGGTCCGTGTGCCTGTATCTTTCCTCAAGCCTCCCCCAAAGGTATCCGTGCCTAAAGATCTGGCGCAAGAGAGTTGTCTGTGACATGAACAGCCTGCGAGTGACCGGCGCGCAGTTCAAGCCTTACGGGTTAGCTGCTGGCGGGATGAGTTGAACGCGACCAACGGGTCATACAACAGGCTACAGACATCCTACCGAACTTCCTTTGGCAAGGTATAGAGTCTTCCATCTTTGCACACAGATACTTGACTGCTGCCTTGTTCAGTGGACCTGTGCCGCCGCTGTTCTTGTAGGGTACCTCTACATGTCGGTCATATGCGCTATGTCGTGACAGTGACGCTTCGCGAGTGAGTCATCCGCAGAGAGCACATTCTCTCCAGCCGGAAATGTCCGGAACATGTCGTTGAGAAGGGTCATGTTGCTTTTTTTCTATCTCTCTGCAACAATATTGCATCACAGCTGCGTGGAGATCTGATCGAGATGGGCAGCAGCTGCCTCCGTTTGGGAGTTCCTGGGTTGGCCCACTTGATCAAATGCTTTCTGTATCTTTACTCGGGTGCGATGTCCACACTGTTCTAGACCGGTCGACTTTGACACGAGCTTACACCATGCTGTCTTCGTCCATACTTCGTAGGTAAGGGACCGGGGTTGGTTGCCTGTTGTTTTCCAGGGCTCTGAGCTTGCAAGCTACTGAAATTGATGGTTGCTGCATCCAGTCTGGTGCAGGAAGTTACTGACGTTCATAACAGATCTCTCCTAGTAAATTCCGACTTGCTTGTTCGGCCTTGCGTCGATTCCGGTGAGAGTGCTGCATTGAACGTTTCCACAATTGTGGACCACGGTGTTTTGCTCATATGATCGAGCAGAGAAAATCGAGTGGTCTTACCGACGCCAATTGGCGGCTGCGAAAAAGAGTGACTGTTCAATCCTCGACAATTCTTCACGTCTCATTCAACAGCATCTGCTTTCAGACAGTTGAATTCCGTGCTTGATGCAACAATGACAGTACTTCATGATCGGTAGCGATGAAACTGCATCGAGCTCGTGCGAGGGGGCAAAGCAATCGAGGTGAGTCAACAAGTCCTTTGTGGCAAATCGTGTAGCATTTTTGTTCGAGTTCCCTGGGCGTCACCGGTGCAAACTCTACCAGTCACGCCATGCTGTTCGAGGATGAAGCTAAGCGGGCTCTCCGCCTCACCATGGATATTGCTGAAAGAAGCATTGATGCTATGTTTGCGGTCCACTCTGCCCCGAGCACCTCCCGTCCACCACTAGTTAGGCGAAGGACAGTTCGGCAACTAGGGCCCACTACGGAGACTCGAGGACGTTCACGTAGCCGATCGCACCGGAAGACAGCCCTGAGCCGACGACATAGTCATCAGGAATCTGCTGACCGCCCAGGATCGGCCCACCAACACCGCACACACTCATCGACTATGGGTGTGCGTGACCCAGCAAGGACACGCGCACCACCCGTCCGACCCCACCGTCCTTCTCGCCCCGCACCCCAGAGCCCGGCACCCCGCTCTTCTCAGACACAGCGGCGGATGTTTGGTGGCGTCGGAGGCGTCTCAACTTCGGGTAGGGTCCAAGGCCCTCCCCCCATCCCTGTGTCACATCCCACTCGCAGCCTGACAGTGACTTTTCCGGCAGGATTTCACATTGGCGGTCTCGTGTCCCCGCCCTCCCCAGCAGCTGTGGAGTCTGTGCTAAGTACGTTGGCCACACGATCAGTTACGTTCCAATCCTTGCAGCCTCTACACCAGCTCGTACCTGCGAACGCCAGGCGCCGTGTCACTGCATACCTGCTCAGTCATCCGCAATTCCTGGATGCAGGCTTGGTTAAGCGCATAATGGAGGAGTGGCATGGCGGCACTTGTCCGGCAAACAGTCAGGGGGTGACCATCCCAACTTCTGTAGGTGACCTGCGCATCACATTGGCCTCGCGAGTTGTTAGACAGTTTGACACTGCTGCTCCTGCATCCACATCGGATGCCATGTTGGAGACTGCAGCGGAAGGCAATCTGGATCCAGCCCCGCGAACAGGCGAGGCTCCCAGCCACAACACGGCTGACCTCCCCGCTCCTCTTGTACCTTCCAGTGAGCTCACGATGAGCAGCTCGGGACTAGCGGCTGCTACAAGCGTCCGGGACATCCCTGCCAATGCTGAGTCGACAAGTGGCCCCTGCCCCCTCTCGTCTCCTTTTGAGGCTGAGGGTATGCCTTCGCTTGCCCCCTCCACTGAGGAAGTGAGTTCTGTGCTGCCTGTGCCAGCACCCTCACCCTTGCCCCCGGCCAGCAGTGAGGTGTCTGTCCCCTCCTCCACTGTTGCCCCTTCCCCTGACCTTGCCGCGGACGATGTCGGCCCCGCCCCACCCTGCCCTTCTGAGTCCAGGGCCAGCCCGCTCCCAGCCGTTTCGGCGGGCATTGCTCCCATGACCCCTCCGATGGATTGCGAGCTTACACCCCAGCTACGGGGTGCTGAGTATGTACTTAGCGCTAACTGCCTTCTACCGGTCACCAGCTGTACTAGCTGTCTACAACCATTTCAGGCTGGTGAAACGCTGGTCAGACTGGCGTGTATGCACTACTTCCACAAGGAGTGTGTCACGAGATGGTTCTCTTCCCCCATTCATGGACATCGCTGCCCTAGCTGCAATGTGAATCTGATCGGCTTGGATAGCTGATTGGCCGCTTCCCGTCCCTCACAGTGGGTGGGACCAGCCAGGCATCCCGTCACGCAACGTGTTAAGGATGCCCGGCAGTTTTGATCCAAGGCAGCCACTGCCTTGCGGAGCACCTCACTTGGCTAGATGGTTGAAAAAGTGCGGCTCCTGCGTACCTTGGGCTGAATGCTCCCCTTATTCACAAAGCAGTTCTGTAAGTTCGCTGTCCTCGGGCCCGGTTTCCCATGTGTTACTCAGTGGCGCAACCATGGCATTCGGTGTAGCACTCCGGGTAGAAATCACAGAGACTTTCTGTTTCTACTGCCGGACATGTTAAGCCGGGTGAGGACTATCGAGCCACAGGATTATTTGCTATTGACCTACTGTGTTCGATGCGCGATGTGCTCGTCCACACTTCTGTCACGCATCACAAGCTAGTATCTTGAATTGGGACACCAAGATGGTATTCCAGTCGTGGGGGGGGGGGGGGAAATCATGCCTACCGCCAGTCTGGTAGAGTCCAGGCATGAGACTGCGGGCCTGCGAACACCCAGTGTCTTTTATGTGGCGTTCGAATAGCTCACCAATGTGCCGTTTATTGCTGCGTTATTGTGACTGTACCCTTACTGCCTGGTTAGTGGCGTGTTCGCCCTCGGTGCTGGAACTGCGTTCCCTCGGCACATGGCGCGCGCCTCTGGGTCGCCTTGTGCGTGCCCTCTGTGCTTGGAGTTTCACTCCCTCGGCACTGGCCGCACTGTTCGCCCCCTTGCTGCTCATTTCGTCTGCCGGTTACTTGCTACATTATTTGGTGCGTACAAGCACTAACTTACTCGCTTCGTGATGTCCGGCTCGGTCTTCTGCAGCTATTGGTTCAAAACCATTTCGTTCATGACTGTCCGTACCTCTCCTCATATCTGGTTCGCTTCATTCCCTATGCTTGCCTTGATGATGTCTGTCGTTTTTTCCCCATGGCTGCTACTTCTGCCCCTGTCTTCCGTAGTTCGTAGCCTTAGAGCTTGCTCCCGCGAAATGGACCTGCTGCGTGGACTACCGGATACACCACTCAGCTCCAGTAGTGATGAAAATGAAGAGCCCGATGAGAGCTTCTTCCTTCCACACCACCGTCAAGGCTGCCAAGCTGGCACCACACAGGAATTGCGTAACTTTTCTGCTGAGTGTGTGGGACATGACATGACGTGGAAGGGTAGTCTGCTCACCCGAGTGGTAGCTCTCCAAACCGGTGGGACGGGAAGAAATCGTCACCAGTGGGGCATGTGGTGGGGCCACCGCCTCCTGGAGCTTAAGGCCGACATAGGCATCTTGTCAGAAACCCGGATAGTGGGACCGGAACAGCAGGCTGCCGCCCTACAAGGACTCAACTCCGCAGGCTATATCGCTTTAAGCCACTCCGCGCCTTCAGCCATGAGGGAGTGCTCACTGCCGACCCAACAGGCTGCCGGGGTTGTCATTGCGGTACACCGCTCGGTTGCGAGTAATTGGTCTGACATCAGCAGAGATGAGAGGGGTCGTGGCATCAGCGCTTGTTTGCTGTTAGCCAATGGTGGGAGGCTGCGGGTGGTAGGACTTTATGGTCCCACTGGTGGGAATCTCCCGAACTTTGCGCACTCACCTGACAACCTTGCCGCTGAAACTAGTCTTAAAGCTTTCATCTCCCAAGAAGAGCGTAAGGCAGCAATGGCAGGTGACGCCATGATAGTGGGGGGGGACTTGAACTCTGTTGTCTCACAGCCCCTGGACACTTGGGAAGGCAGCCACATTGATCGTATTGATTGTGTTGCCCGCCATTTGGCAGCCATGGGTCTCATGGATGTGTTCCGGGCGTTCCATCAGGACATCAGGGCCTTCACCTTCTTCTCCACCGTATCTGCCAGTAGGCTTGACAGCATCTGGTACCTGCCTGCACCAGCTTGGGCTGCAAGCCCCGTGAACTCATCAATCTTGTGGCAATGGTCGCATCGCACTGATCATGAACCCGTTATGGTGGACTTCACCTTCCAGCTTCCCGTGATCCATACCACCCTGCCCAGACCTTCCCCCACATGGAAAACAATCACCGGTTTGCTCGGTTCACCGGATATGGCGCGAACTTGTCAGCAGGTGCACCGCAAGCTCGAACAACATAAACTTCGCTTACAACTCATTTCTGAGCGCTTCACTGAGGCTGAAATGCTCCTTGATGCCACGTCTAAACCTCCATGCGAGGGTGTAGTCGGGTTGTGGGATGAACTGATACCTCCGGCGGCTGACGAGGCCAAGCGCCTTAGGGACATTGTCGACGGCAGCTTTAGTGAACTGCAGGCTATTCTCCTGTCTTGCTTGCCCGATGTTGCGGCGGGCGCATCGCGTAGGAATGCCAAGGCATCGGAGGCATGGCACCACTGCCTACTAGAGCTCAAAAGCATTAGGCGATACCTGCAGGACATTGCCGCCAATCCACTCAAACAGTTCGTTATGGAAAAAATCTCATTGCAACAGGCTTCTACACTGGCGGCAAAGGCCACTGCGCTTATGCGGCTTGTGCAGACCAATTTTCACCACGTAGAGGCCTCAGTGACCTGGGACTCTTTTCGAAGCAACCTCGTTGAGTGGGTGGGCACGCTGGGAGTGCCTGAGTTTCGTCAGTTGCAGTGCGAAGCTGCGTTGAGTAGTGCCTCGCTTACCCGTTTCTCCCGCTCTACTGTAGGTAATCTCGCGTCGTCTATGTTGCCGTTCCGTTGGTCTCTAAACATTGGCGTGACAGACAGACGACACGCTCCGACCTTGATCGCGCAAGTCACGGAGTGGATTGACAATGTCCATAAACTGTATTCCAGCTGCACCAACAAGCAGTCGAGAGGCTACTTGCAGGATCGTCGTCAGCGCCTCCGTGCAGGGGATGTGAAGGGTTGGGCAAAACTGATGCGCCCGCTCCCACAGCCTCGGTTGGAGTACCTTCCTGACTGGTGTGTGCGTGATGATGGTGTTGCTTACAGGCCCACCACGGTTTCCGATGTGTTACGGGGTGCCGAGCAGGAATGGGGGGCACTGCTTCGTGAACCTGCGGAGTCATGGAGCCATGATCTCATCCGTAGCTACCAGGACTCCACCGGCCGCATACGCGGTATGCTTGACTTCATATCAGTCATGTCCTCGCATGGTAACGAGAACCTTCATCGTGTAAGCGATGCACTGCTTTATCCCGGGCCTTGGCTTTTGTTGTCTTGGCATCGCCATCAGCTCCATATTTGGACTGAGCACTGTTTGGTTGTTGCCGGTTGGGTTCTCCGCTGGGACGGGTGGGCTTGGGTGGGTTATCGGCAGGCGCCTTGTTGTGGTGCTAGGTATGTGTTGGTGCTCGTCAATGGAGTGCCTTCATGTCGGTGGTCAGCTGATAGATGGCACTGTACTGCCGGAGGCTGCTTGCTGTTGAGGAAGTATGAACCCCTTAGTGATGCCTTCACTTCGTCCAGTACACAAGCCGAGCGGCAACACATACTGAGCAAGCACCGTCACTCGTGCCCGGGGCCGTCGGGGTGGAAGATGGCCTTTCTGGAGTTTTTTCCCGACCAGGTGCAAGAGCTTTTCTGGCGAAGCATTGACTTTCAAAGACGAGCTGGTATTGTAGCATCCTCTCTTAAAGAAGCGTTGCAAGTCCATCTTTCCAAGGCCTCAGGGGGTTGGCGGCCGCTTTCTCTCATGGAGGAGGGGTTCAAAGCCGTCGAAGGCCCCCTAAATCGGAGGCTCGCCGCGGAAGTCCAGCAGGACAAGGATGGTCAAATGTACAGCTTGCTCAACATGGGTTATGCCCCAGGCTGCCCGGCAGCCCCACACGTTCTGTATTTAGATGCTCTGCTGCTTGAGGATGCAGCAAGGCATGCGCGTCCCATCTCCAGGCTAGCTGTGGATTACGAGAAATTTTTTAACACATTGCAGCTTGCAGAAATCGACGCTGTTCAACACTGTCGCGGCGTACCGGATGCTGTGCGGGCTCTGTGTCAAGAGCTTTTCGGAGCCTGTGCTGTCAGGTTAGCCACTCGCCTGGGCGTCACCTCGCCTATTTCTGTCTCCCGGGGAGTCCCTCAGGGGTCGGTCTCTTCCCCCAGCCTTTCCCGTGGTGCCCAAGAGCCTATGCTGAGGTTACGAGAGAACAGCTCTCAAGGCTACCGAACGAGCGGGGGTAGACTCGTACATGCTACGGGTTTTGTTGACGACTTAGAGCACTACGGCTCAGGTGTTGGTGACCTGCCGGGCATCTCTGAAACCCTTACCCTGGGTAGTGCTAGCTCTGGTGTCGGATTCTCATGGAAGAAATGTCGAGCTTTTGCTAGCGACTGGGATGAGAGACAAGAGCAGGCAGGCCCACAAGTCCAACTGCAGGGCTTGCAGCTCCGCAGTTGGGATATTTGGAGTGGTGGTTTTAAGCAGGTTGTTATTCCAAGGGCGCTTCCAGATGAGGAGGAAGTCCTGCTGGGCAAACGTGGCACTCTGAGGGACAAGCACACCCTCGCGTCCGAGGATGTCCTCAAAAGCATTCGAAGTGCAAAACTACGGATCGCATCCAAACGATGCTCTTGGGACGAGGCCTCTGCACTCATGCAGTGGGTCGTTGGCGGCATTCTCTCGTATGCCCCCCTCCTTGGCATACCCTCGCCTGAGGAGGTACATGCAGAGGATCAGGCGTTTCAGCGGCTCCTTCTGCACACTGTAGGCACCCGATCCACGGCGGAGCGCGCGAGCCTTCTTGCTCCGAGATCCTCCGGTGGTCTTGGAGCGCCATGCCTTGTAGAACTCTTGATTAGCTCGGCTGCTTCTGACGTCCTTTTGCTTCTCAACGGTTCCTCCCAGGTTGCCTTAATCGCCCGAGATACCTTGAGACAGGCTATCGAGTCCCATCCCGACCAGCTCGACTCCCATGAAGGTACACTGTTGAGTGCTCTCAAATTCCTAGCAGGGTATGGCCTGTACGTTGAAGTTTCCACGGATCGCATGGTGGGTAGAATTCTTGATTGCATAGCTGGGGAAAATGCCTTGTCTCAGCCCTTCACTGTAGCCTTCCAGCCGGCCACCCACGCCAGAGCGCTGGTGTACTGTCGAGTGGGGTTGGCTGCCAACTCCATCCGACGTGCATGGCACCGCATCCGCACTGTAGCTCCTGTGCAGGAGTGGTTTTCAGTTGCGTGTTGGACAGAGCACCTCGATTTGGCGTGCCCCTTTCCCCCCTCAACCTGCGCCAATGCGGCTAGAAGAGCCTCAGAGCAAGCGGAGTCAGATTGGCGAACGGAGTGTGCCATCTTCCGCCCGGGTAATGCTTCACCTCCTATCTCTGAGGATTGGCCCGTTGAGGCATGGGAGCGGGCCAACAGTGTTCCAGATGCTCGCACGGCCTTCTTGATGGCTCAGGCTTCCTGTCTGCAGCTCGAAGGCTGGGACTACGCAATGTTTGGGGACGGGGGGCGGGTCTGCCAGAACTGCCCCACGTACTCCTATCAAGCACGTTCCTTCGGACCTGTGGGGGACTACTGGGGTACCAGCTCTGTTGTTTCGGACCGTCATGTAGGTTGTTTGCCTTTAAGAGTTGGTTGGGAACATACTGGGGTACATGAAGCTGAGCTCGCGGCTATGCTGGGATCGCTGCGCTACAGGCGCCATGGCGAGTGGATGCTTCTGGTTGCTGATCGGTCGGCCCTCTTTCATATCCTCAACAAAGCCAGTGTGGGCGATGAGGCTGTGCTATTGAGGCAGCATTGCCAGCCATGGGTTACGCGATTATGGCACATTCTGCGGGAGCGCGCCGCCTCTTGGAAGCCAGGCGTGCCGATCCCGTCATGGCGACTTCAACAAATTGAGCTTCCCTCTGCATGGAACATGCAACTCCCGGGTGACGCAGACTCACGCAACAAGTGGTACTCCCGCATTGCTTTCTCTCGTTTCGGGCTGGTTGGGGTCGACATCAAGTCACACCAAACGCACACGGCTCTTCCCCATCCGGTTCTTGCTCAGGGGAATCAGCAGCAGGATGAAGGATGCGCCGTGGCAAGGACGCTCCCCCGGCCATCGGACATTCGAAAACCGGCTGGTGGCCCTTTCGTGTATCTCGTCTGCCAAGGCCATTCTGTCACTTCGCCAGTCAGGGACTTCCTACGTAAAGCCATGCGAAAGGAAGCTCTGACTAAGTGGGCCTCTAAGCCTGTTCAAGGGCTGATTGCGCATGTAGGCCAAGAGCTCTTTAAACCTTGCCTCAACCCTGAGCTTTACAGGCACTGTCACATCCCAGCGCCTTGGAAGCGGTGGGCGCTTGCCCAAGACGACAAGTATGTAGACCTTGCCCCCATGTTTTTTCGGTGCACGCGATCCATCGGTGGCAGTTGGACAGAAAGGCTCCATTCGGATGCGGACCTTCAGACCCTGGCGCAGAGGTGGATCTTGTATCGTGGGTTGGACAGTGTGCGTACGTGTCCCCTCTGTGGTCGAGGACCATGCACTCCCAGACATGTGTTCATGAGTTGTGAGCACATGCGCCCCCTAGTGGACGCCCTCAGGGACTCAGTAGAAACAGCTCTGACTGCAAGTCAACCTTCGGACTCTCTTATCGCGGCAGCGGCTGGCTGGCGTTCGCGGAGCGCCAACTTGCTACCCGGGGTACCGTCCCCGGAGGATGCTGCCAGGTGGCCCGTTCTCAGTGCTTGGCGCTGGATGGTTGCTATCCCAGAGCGGGAAGCTTTTCTTACAGAGGAGCCCAGGGGTAGCTCCCGGGATAGTAGCCGCAGGGCCAAAGGACATGATCTTGCATATCGCGGAGTCATTCCGTTGGCCTTGGGAAAAGCATTATGTAGCTTGCATCACTCTGAAGATGCGGACCATCTCCTCCCGCCCGACACTTTTGCTACACTCCGTCAGCCCGGCTTAGCGGCTGATGAGGTTGCTGCTTCCCGCTCTCGCGCCTCCCGCATCCAGCCTGCGCTCATGGTCAACAGCTTGCTGTTGCTTGGGTTACGGTTCGTCCGATCGGAGTTCCAACAAAGGTTGGATGCTTGGATTACACTTGCGAGGACCCTGTTGGATAACATGCATCCTGCTGGTGATCCACAAATGGTCCCCTTCATGCCAGGGGTACCTCAGCCTGCCCCTGGTCTACAGGCTTGGCTCCGCTCTCCGGAGGCCCTAGGATTAATCACCGAACTGCGGTGGTTAGTGCCCACACAGGACATTGTAGTCAATCGTATTAGGGCAGTTAATCCGGGGTTGCGGCTTGGTGGTGAGGCCATTATTGCCGCCGTGCGGGCGAGCGGGGTCCCCATCTTGTTGCACAGGATCCCATCCTGGGGGGGTGTGTTTCCGGAGTGGCACACCGTCAAAGCGGCCCTTCAAGTGACCTGCACTTGCGTTAGGCATGCGCTGCCAGCGCCTGTTAGTTGCTGTTGGCAATGTGGGGGTGCTATCCTTCTTCCCGGCCCTCCCCGACCCTGCAGGTGGTGCCACCATGAAGGTGGGGACCTCGCATGTAGTGGTTGCGGTCGCAGGTTGCACAAACGGGGGCAGTGTCGTGCTTGGAATCGTGGGGCCAGCAAGCACTATCTACCAGGGCCTGATGAACCACATGCGCTGTGCCCAGATTGCATGTGGGTTTGGCTGCAAGCGTGGATGGCCTGCCCAAGACGGCATCGCACCGCGGTTGCCCCGGATTTGACCCATCACATGGCTAGCTTGGCTGCCGCATGTGTCTGTGGCGCGGGTTCGCAGAATGCGCGCTCTGCGCCTTCCCTTACACTGCGACGTGTTCGTAGGTGGATTCTGCGCCATCTCCGCGCAAGGCATCCGCACTTAGGCACGCCCCTTGACATGCTGCTCTCCCGCTGTGAAGCTGCAATGGCAGTGCCTGCTGCCACACCCCTCTTGCATGATCTCGTCCAGCGCAGCGTGCATTGCTTGTGCCGCGAAGGCAAGGCCTTTCTCACCATGGTGGATGGAACCACTTGCATAGCTCTCCATGAATATGAATGGGACTAACGAGAGCTTACCAGCTAGACTTGTAATGCCGATTGCACAGCTGAAAACCCTGCACCGCATAGTCTCGGATCTGCTGAGTTTCCGATTACGTGCAGTACCACCATGTGACGTGACTACCTTCCATTCTGCAGCCATTTTAATTGAAGTAGGCGACGACTGCACTTTTTGTTTTTTGATGCGGCACGACTCTGATCTAACCTTGGCTGTAGCCCAGATTCGCTTTGCCAATGCAAAGGGAGGCCCTGCACCTCTCATGTGGTAAAGCAGCTTCTGACCATGCAACACCATGCTGAGCCACTGAAGCTTTTCTTTGTTGCCGGTCGCACATAGGAAACTGTAGAACTGTTCACGTTCTGATGACACTTTTTGCAAAGGGACATCCAGTCCTGTGCATGCTGCTGAGGCAATCGAGCCTGCAGTCATTTCAATGGGCCAGTGCGTTATGCTGCATGTCATGTGTTCAAGTTTTCACTACTTCGGCAGACTTCGTTGCTCCTGGATGGCATTGTAATCTTTGGCATGTCTAGCACAAGCGGTATGTCTTTGCATGTCACAAATCGCGGCAGTATGAGCTTGAATGCCTGAGGGAACCAGCTCCCTGATAGCTGCCTATTGGAATGCTGCACACATACACACACGCGCGCTCTCTCGCACGCACACACACACACACACACGCACGAACATCTTTCAACTCGACCGTTTGATTGAGGATTACACGTTGCAGACTGTGTGTGAACAGTGGCGGATCGCGTCTCTGGCTCCTTGTAGCAGTGTTTCCAACTCTCGGCTGCAGACTGTTTGCAGCCTGTAGCATGGAGGTAACTGAAGTGATGTTGGCTGAGCCATAATCGCTTCTTGGCAACGATTCTTTCCGCCCGGCGTATGGTAGACACCAACGACATTGTATTTCATTTCATATGCCGCTGTGACATGGGGCCCTGAGCTATCCAGAGAATGGCAAGGACGTAAGCTACGCGGTCTTTATTTGCCATAAATAATACCGCCTGACCATTCTTCATTAGGATTTCCGGTGCCAGGTGATTTGCAGCTGGTTCGAACCAGACCGTATCTCTTGATAGATTCGCTCGTGCGCGTGCTAGCAGGCAAGATGATAAGGCAGTACTATGTGTTCCAAGTTAGCAGCACGAGCACAACGGGTCAGAACTGCCACAGGTATTCCCAGCATCACTTCCAGTATACTGCAGTTTGATATCTTTGCTTTCGCCTTCGATGGCATTCTCATGTCGCCCTTCGGGGATCTTGAAATGTGGTCTTGAGCGACGTGGGATAATGCTTGTCGTGTACGGGCTAGGCTTTTTTTGGTAGTTGTCGAGTCTCCTTTGTCGAACTGGAGAAGAATACCACGCCATCGTTACCTTCCCATGCTTCCTCGAGGTTGATGTTAGTCAAGCTGCGTGTCATAACAGCGTTTGTGCCAGAGTAGTACGGTAAGTGGGCACGACCAAGTTTTTCGTGTCAACAGGGTCATTTGAGAAGCTTTCTGCAGGCATGACCGGCCTACCTGAGTGGGCCGGGAGGTACCAAGCACCACAGAGCAGTCGCCTGCTCACCTTTGATGTTACCCTGTGCGGTTGACGCAGCTGAGGCAACAGTCATGGTTCAATGCACTCATGCCTTATGCATGTTGAGTATGATGCTGGTGCTGGTGCTGGTGCTGCTGGCTGGTGCTGGTGCTGGTGCTGGTGCTGGTGGTGGTGGTGGTGGTGGTGGTTGTGGTGGGGTTGTGGTGGTGGTTGTGATGGTGATGGTGAGGTGGTTGATCCTCCACCACGCTCTCTTCTTGCATGACGGCTCTGTTGATTCAGTGGTTGAAGCCCTGAGGCCCCGCAAGTTCTTTTGGGTCAGTCTCTGTTCACCTGGCTTGCACTTAGATGCAGCACTTGCTCGGGGTGGTTGCCGGCGTTTCATTAGTTACCGTTTGGTTGGAGTGGTATCCGGTGTCACCGAGCTTACCTTTGCACGGCGTGGTCGGCGTCATTTCGCTTTTAACCTTTGAATGGGGTGCTCTCCGGTGTCGGGGAGTTTGCCCTTCGGCGGGATGGTCGCGGGCGCGATGCGCTTCGCTGCACGCACTTGGTTGGGGTGGTCTCCGGCGTTACGGTGCTTACCTTCGGCCGGGGTCGTCGTCGACGTTTCATCACTCAACTTGGTTGGGATGTTCTTCGGCACTTCCTTGGACTGGCTAGTCACCGGCGTTGCTTCTTTTCTCTACCTTTGGTTGGGCTGGTA